GTATATCTATGAAGAGCGACTTCTTCAGGATATAATATATTATCAGATGCACTAGTAATCTCTGTTGAAAAACTTTCTCTATTCGCATCATAATCAGAAAGAAATCTATTATCACCACCACTAGAGTCTCCTTTGTAAGGATTATAACCTGGAGCAGAAGTTTCTAAATTTCTAGGGCTACTCATTTTTTTTTATCTTTTAAAAGGAAGAGCTTTTTTCTCTTACAATCTTACAAGGTGTTATTTATTTTTGGATTGCTCAACAAAAAATTTACAAAGCTCGGCCAGCCGAGAAAGAGAGAGTATCGTAAAAAAAAAAAATGTTTAGGATTTTTAGGACAAGGAGTTATTTTTTTATTAAGAAAATGAATGAATAAATTGATAAAAAGAATTTTAGAGAAACAAGGAGTGGAAATAATAAATCATAATAAACGTAACCACTCATATTCAATAGCCAAGAAGATTAAAATATAATAAAAATTTGATTGTATATGGAGAATCATTCCCTTACTACTAAATATGGTTGGTTGATACAAGGAGAATATACATAACGTTTTAAGTTATTTTAGTGCACCATATGGGGCATTTTAAAATCAGAAAAAAATACCTTGTGGTCTTTTAAAAAATTCCGTGTACGTATATAATCATACGATATCTGGACACGTTTTAGCATTAATAGTTAGCAGTTAGGGTTAACTTGGTTAACTGGTAAATTGAATGTCAATATGTCACTGTCATAACTCTGGAACTGTCATATATCCGATAACCTTAAATCCGCGAACCAAGTTTAGGAATATTAATCTCGGTTCGGTCAATACCTTTCATACAGCCGAATTTTTTTTTTTTTTAAACGCCAATATACAGATATAAATGAACCAATCATTTCTGATATATATTTAGTGGATTCATAAATTACCAATAAAAATAACCAAGAAATAAAACCGTTTTCCCCTAAGTTTGAAAAAGTTTTGAACTTAGCGATTATTAGTATTTTTTTTTAAATTAAACATATTATTACGTTAGTTTACGTTAATTTAAGCTGAAAATTTTTTTAGTTTATATTAGCGTTAGCAGTTAAGAAAAAAAAAAGAGAAGGAAATCTACTACGTATCATGTAGGTGGGGTGATTACTATGGGCTAATAGAAAATATTTTTTTAATCTGATACAATTTTTGCAGTAAACTGATACAAAAGCGGTAGCAAAAATGGTACGTATCAAAAACTGTAGTTAAGGAAAGTACATTTCTAAAATTCGAGACTTCTAAGAATTTGAGTTCTTTACGAACACCATCGTTCTTAGAATAAAAAGTTATAAAAAATTTTAAAAATTATAATAAATTAAAATTAAAAGAATTAGAATTAGGAATCTATTACGTACACACAATAGCGATAGCTTTTCTCAAAAAGATTTTTTAGAAAATAGAACAAATTAATATTTGGAAAAAAAAAAGCATAAATCGTAAAATAAATAAAGATTTTCGTGTCACTAATGAATATCATGAAGGTCAAAAATGAAAGAATGATGTATTAGATATTACGAATGCACCAATTCTTTTGAATCTAAATAATTGGAAAAATAGAAAATCCGATTGACAACAGCTTATCGTTATGTTTA